GATAATATGCCGAATAAACCAGAGAAACCTGAAGAAAGCACGTCATACTCGGTATTAATAGCAGCTAAACACTAGGCTGATGCTTGGCCGCTCGCCCCCAATGGAACGAGCGTGTGTCTGACAGTGTCTTGCTCGGTCTACAGAATGCTACAGATGGCTGCTTTTGCTCACTTTTGCACTTGTCATACAGAATCATCTCGTGTCTGCTCGTGTCCACCCTCCACCACTAGCATGGGCCTAGTTAGGTGCCCAAGGCAAGGCAGACTCATGGAGTCAACACCGCAATATGGCTGGTATGAGGTGTTTCTGTGGCTTGATCGTGGCTTGTGAGGTTCAGGCCCCCCATCCGGGACGGGGAATTTAGAGAATCCGAGCAGCAAAAGGGCCAATTGAACAGGCAGCTGGATTTCACTCGGCCACTGTTGTCCTGTCTGTCCTACCAGGGGTCGATTGGCGTGCCTGTCAAGCCCGTCTAACTCACAGCAGGCCCGCAACTTGGGGGGGAGACAGACTCGGCTGGGGGCTGCTGCGGGCTCCTGCGGGCTGGCCGATGCAATTGAACAAAAGTGAGTCTTTCTTACGACCTGATCAAAATGCTCTCTTGTATCCCCGACAGCAGCGTCTGGTGCCTCAGTCATGCTCGACTACTTCTCTTCCATGACCTTGCCGTCGTCTTGCCACCTTTGAGATCCCGTCTCGCCACCACCGTCGCCCTTGCAATAGCACAAGCCTATCGTGCCCGCCTCCCACCACTATGGCTGAATTGGCTCTCCGCCCTCGAGATCAGCTTGATATTCGGGCGCGGATCAGCATCCACGATGAGTCTCCCAATGACATCAAAGAGCTCCTGATTGCCGCCGACCAGACGCAGAGAGCTCTGCGGTCGAAGCAGTCGTGGACCCCTCCTGAAGCATTTGGATCTCTGCATCGAGCTGCGTTCCGCAAAGCCAGGACGCTTCCTTATCCTTATCGACCAGGCCACTTTAACGATCTCCCCGCCTCAGACCCTCTGCCCTGTCCGCTGAATCGATCAAACAGCCTCAACTCCTTGTCAACAATACAACGAGAGACAGAAGCTGCTTCGTTAAGCCTGTACCGAGGGTCGCCTATCTCTGCAATCAGTCCCCCATGTGCCCCGTCGTCCGCGCCGTCATGGACACCCGACGTCGACTACGAGGTACAAGATCCATGCCCTCCTCGGCCCCCACTGAGGGTAGAAACTCTCAGTCAGCAACGCAAATACCAGAAGCGTCTGAGGAAGCTTATGAAAAAGGAGGAGAAGGAGCAGCTCAAGGCGCAAAAGGAGGAAGAACAATTACGCCGCGCGACTCTGGCGGCTGAAGTTGCTGCCTCACGGAGGAACGCGGCATCCAGAGGAGAGGCAATCCCACTGCGCACCAAAAGCACTAGGAGCATTGCTTCACAGGTAGTCAAGAGCTTGAGCCTGGAAAGTCCATTGACCAAACTCAGTCGCCGTGTCAAGAAAGACAGGTCGGACCCGCCAACATTGGATGACTTTGACAGCAAGCAAGAGTTTCGCGACTATCTCAACCCTTCCCCTCCACCACTGGCACCTTCACCCTCGCCATCAGCCGAAATTGCTGAGCTCCCTGCCGAACTGCCGCAGTATACGCCGTTTCAAGACTCGACGAGGACTCAAAAGAACGAACCTGTTGCCCTTTTGGAAGACGCCCGTGCCTTGAAAGAAAAGGACATTTTGTCGCCCGTCGAGAATGACATTGTAAGGCCGAATAATTCACATCCGACACTAAGATCGATGAGGTGTGATTCATGTAAGAGCCCTATCCGTCTGCACCAGGTCTACTATCACTGCTCAATTTGCGACAATGGCGACCGCATATTGTGTTCTTCATGTGACCAAGCTGGCTGGAGTTGTCGCCATAACCTCACGGAAAGGGTTCGCAGTGTATCTCGCCCAGCCGCTTCCCAGAAAGTGGGTATCACCAACTCGGATGGAGAGCAGATTCGGTCAGAGGCACAACAGTATGCCACAGCCATGTGGGGGTTGAACTTGTCAAATCTCTCCGCTCACCCCAGTCGATGGACCGAGTCTCCAGCTGAGGCAACAATGTCTGCGGACAGTCCATGGGCATACAATGACATTCTAGAACAGAAGAAATCACACGAAGATCAACGGCAGGGCATACGCCCATCTCAGAGATCTGATGATGCAAGAGAGCTTGATTTCCGCCGACGCGAACAAGACATGGTTTTCCGCGAAAAGGAGGCCACCTTACGGGAACGGGAGGCTGCTATGCGAGAGCAGCAGGCTTCGATCAGGGAGCAGGAGGCCGCTCTCCACGTAAAACAGCAGATGTTCACCCTACATATGCAATCAGCCGTTGCAAGACGAATGTCGGAACTCTCGGCTGGAGTTGGTGCGCAGTTCCAGGATCTGTCCCAGGTAAGTGCTCCTGTTTATCGAATCCGCCTCTGCACGTCTCGCTTGCCTCTTCTAGCAGCCAGAACTTGTTCTAACGATTGGTCCCAGAATGACAACACAAGGACTCATGCCACTAAACGCAAAGCGGGGGCCGGGCACGCAATGGTCTCTCCTTCTAATTCCACCGGCTCGAATCACAAGTCTTCACCAAAGCGTACGCCGAGCGGTGGACAAGACCCAGACGAGGAGGATGAGGATGCCACAGGAGGGACACCGAAGAAGATCAAACAGGACCCCGAATCGCCGGGGACGCCGGAGAAGCTCTTCGCTTGTCCGTTCTCCAGGTACGACAAATCGAGATATTCGGAACAGAATACGCATGAGAAACACTACCGGGGCTGCTCGAGTGGATATTGGCCTGACATCTCGCGCCTCAAGCAGCATCTTTACCGTGTCCATTGGCGACGGATTCATTGCATTCGTTGCTTTACAAAGTTCGACCGCAAAGACCAACTGGAGCAGCATATCCGAGGCGCGGCGCCCTGTGCACTTGTTGAATGCCCCTTCCCAGAGAAGTTTGACGAAGTACAATATAACGAGATTCGGCGCAAGCGACCGGCCAGCACTCCTGAGCAGGTGTGGTACACGATCTATGGTATCCTGTTTCCAGGGGTACAGCAGCCGACAAGTCCATACGCCGATAATATGGATGTGCCTTCGGCACACAGCCCAAGAGCAGCCGAACCTCAGGATACAATGGATGTGCTTGGAGCAGTCTTTGAATCCCGCTTGGATCAGCTCACGGACGCTCCGGGTCAGGGTTGGCTTCGGTCAGCGGAAGTGCGTCAACTTATCCGTGAACAGCTGAGAGCATCCATGACCGACGTTCTCCAGCGATTGAGACCGGTCAACAGTCCATCTCTCGGGAACCCGTCTGTCGAAGTGTCGCCATTTTCAGCCCAACCGCCGGATTCAGCTCGACGCAGCTCAATATCTCTGACCCCTGCGTCCTCCCTCCCGCCTTCGCCTGTCCATGATCGTGGTTCCGCGAGCAGGAATGGGGTCGACTCACACTTTCTTTTACCTGGTCATCGCCAAAGCTTCAGCCGTCCCTTCCCGGCTAGGATGGTACCAAAGCTTAATGCACCACAACCTGCTCAGAACGCTCAAAATGTGGAGGAGTCACCGTCCGGGGTGACATTTCCTGCTACTCTGGTAGTTGATCCAGAGAATGACCAGTATGATGAGGAGTGCAACAGCTGGAGCCACGGAGACGAACTCGGTCTTGCCATATCGACAAATGCAATGGCGGGCCAATTCGACTTTGACTTTGCCTCTGCATTCGAGGAGCTGAACAAGATGCACTGTGTCTCAACGCCACCGCCGACTTCCGAATTCAATCCGGTTAAACTGTCTAGCTTGGATGAACCTTCGGGGGAAGCGTCGACAAGATCTTCTAAGCTAAAACCCAATCATTCCACAACGTCGTCCGTTGACTCTGGTTATGGCAGTCTCGGTCACGCCTCGTCCTCGGCATCAGCGTCTTCTTCGACGGCCCCGTCTCGGACACCGACAAAATCCAAATCAGCACACACAGCTGGGAAAAACAGAGGCAAACAGAAAGCACCGGAGTTCACCAAAGAAACAAGTCCTGTGCCGGAGTCGGCGATCAATTTTGATGCTTTGAATGTTCCATTCCAGGACTTCTCGGGCGTCAATTTGGATCTGGATCTTGAAGGTGCGATAGATGAGTTTACAGATGAGTTTACATTCGGAATAGGAATGGGCAACGGAAATGTGGGTGCGATGAATCACCCTCCTTATTTGGATACGTCGTACCACCGCGATTTTCAGGAAGCGAGGTAAGCTGTGTATACTGTGACTAGTGGTGTTTTTAACAGTTCTCTTGTATCCTTAGAGTTTCGGGGTATTCCTTTTTGGTGTTGTGAAGCTATCATTGTCGCTGGTTTGTGACCGTCCGGTTACGATGATGCGTATGACTTGGAAAAGGAAAATATGGTCGAATGAAGGGGGAAAACATTTCTTTGCTGGGATTTTTAGCACACAATCTGTATCTTGATCAAGGAGTGACAAATTCGACTCTTCGTCACGCCCTTTTCTTACTTCCCTCCTCTTGCTTCTCTTCCCTTGCCAAGTTTGTCAGACTGTTACTTTGCTATTTCCACTGCTGGAAAACTTTGGAAGTATCAACTTCACCTTATGCACGCAGTACCGTTACATGCTCCGATCTCCACGGTACAACGTTATACCGAGGCCGCTGATGGACATCCCACCAAAAAAAAAAGGACCCGGGAGTTTGATCCCAAGTTCTATGCTGATTCCAAGTCTCTATTGTGCCTGTTACGCACGGAGCTCAAATCCGTTTCGCCTTTTTGACATCATAGACAGATTTGCATTATGACAATATGGGTGCCGAGTACAATAGGTAGGTGAGGCTGCAAGTGAGGAGTGTTCCGAAATGAACTGGCTTTCTCACAGATACTTCCTTTTCTTGTTCATAAATAATAAGTCTCGGGTCTTCGAATTCATTTATTCTAACAAGTCCCGCGCCGTTCGGTATCCCATCACCGCAGACATGGTCGGCTCGGTGATCCAGCTGAAATGCAAGTGCAACAACTACCCCTGGGGCAAGAAAGGCCACGAGTCACTAGCCGCCCGGCTGTGCTCGAAGTCAAATCCCGACTTCCACATCGATGACTCGATGGAATATGCTGAGATGTGGATGGGCACGTACCCCGAGCTGCCATCCTACTCGCTCGAAACGGGTGAGGATTTGCGGGAGATATTGAAACACTACAAGGAGAAACTGGTCGGCAAGGGAGTGTAAGGAGAAATTCGGATGCGATCTGCCTTTCCTTCCCAAAATCTTGTCCATTGCGAAGGCGCTCCCACTACAGATCCACCCTGACAAGAATCTGTCGGAGAAACTGCACCAGGAACACCCAGACCAGTTCACGGATCCCAACCACAAGCCCGAGATTGCAGTTGCTCTATCCAGATTCGAGGCCTTTGTGGGGTTCAAACCCCTTGGAGACATCCAGGAGCTGATAAAGTTGGAAATTCTCCTCCCGTTCCTGCCGACCACTTCCGAGGGCCTGACGCGGAGTGATGACGAGACCCTGAGACAGATTTGTACGAATATGCTTAAGGCTGAGGAGGGCCTTGTCGCGAAGACGATGAAGGGCCTGTTGGCAACGCCGCCGCAGCAATTCGGGCAACAGGCGTATGTGCTCGAATTGGCCAAGAGATTGCAGGAACAGTACGGCAAACAGGACAATGGAAACCTTGTGGCATTGGTGTGTATGAATTTCTTGGTGTTGGAGGCAGGATCGGCAATATACATTCCTGCAGATGGCATTCATGCTTACCTCTCTGGCGACATCGTCGAGTGCATGGCGAGGTCGAACAATGTCATCAACGCGGGATTCTGTCCGAGAGCGGACCGCGACTCGGTCGATCTGTTCGCCAGGTCCCTGACCTTCCAGCAACATGACCGATCAGAACCCATCCTCCACCGACAGACAGCGACAAGGGTCAGAATGGCAAGACGGACGAGTTCAAGCCGCCGATGAGCGAGTTCAATTTGCTTGTGACTAAGCTCTCGGCAGGAGGGAAGGAAGAAGTTGGACGTATCGCGGGACCCAGTATCATGGTTGTCACGAACGGACATGGGAAAATGAGTGTCGATGGGCGGGAATACGAGTTGCACGAAGGGAGCATTTTTTTCGTTGGCAATGGCGTCGAAGTCGAGATGACAGCACGAGAGGAGTTGGTCGTGTATCGGGCGTATGAGGATTGAGGGCCGTTTTGTGACTTTGTCTCTTCTTCAGTTTCGTGCTCAATGAGTAGGAAATCAATGACAAGGCTCGTTAGACACTGAATCTCCGTGTGGTGGGCATGCTCCGCTAGTTTGAGCTAGCAATAGTGAGCCTCGCTGTCATCTTTCTCCTCGCTAGCGACCAAGAGCAACCGCTTGACGAGTATTCGAATCTATGCTCATTGTCACCAACGATGGTCGCCAGCGTGCCTGTCGGCGTTGGAGGGCTCGGCCTGTTCGGCCTACCTTGAACAGCAGCCGCAGCCGGACCATAGTTTCCATCATCTTCCTTCTCGTGAAGGAGGAGGTGACCATTCTTTTGCTTTCGTGTTTCGCTCCCCGCTCCTTATCGGGATCGCTGCTGCTTTGTGCGACGGCAAGCCGGATTCAAAAATAAGTGGCACAGTCTGTCTCGGAATATGTATCTCGAGAGTGCTCAATAACGTTAAAGCGACCGCTATCTCGAGTATATTTGACACTATCGGATAAATGACAGGGGGGCACTATTTCCAAGGTAAATGGAATGCTCATTACCAATGAAGGCCACTTCCGGTCTAACAGCGAAGGACTTCAAGTGCGCGTAATAGCTTTTAACAGCACCAGAAGAAGCCACGAGTTGAGCCTAATCACCGGCAACCTGAGCATACCCTCGAGGCTACTGAAGCCGGGCGAGCAACCATTTACACCTGAACCCATCCTCTCTGAGCATTCACTTCGTCACATCTTAGAGGATGGTATTACTGAGTTATTGTATCCACCCGATCTGGCGCAGGTTGTCGCCGATAACTACTTTGTCTATGGCCTGATGGGTCATCCATTCAAAACGTGGTATCATCAGAGGGCAATGCCGTCACAACGAGTCTCAGCGAATCCAGAGTGAAAAAGATATAGGCTATCGGAAAATTTTAGACGGAAATATGAAGACAGACAAGAGACTCGGGCGAGTACTTCTGGGCCATCTTCACCAAAGGGGCGAGGGTACTACTGGCCCCTCGATACGATCCTAGTTGACTTCGATAGTGTACGCATCCTTACCTACGGCTACGATTCACGTCCGACCCGATTTCTGGCTGGCGGAAACCAATGCACCTCTCTTAACATGCTCAAAATCTTCAAGGTATCAGGGCTAGGCAAAGTCGTTGTCAAGGGCGGCCAATCGTAATTGTCGCCCACAGTCTGGGAGGCATCCTGGTTGAGGAGGCTATCCACGAATCTAAGAAAGTCATACATCAGCCTGCGGTTTTGAACATCAGCCGCTCCTGTGTCGCCATTTTCTTCTTCGGAACGCCACATATGGGTCAGCCGCTGCAAAGTTTACGTGGGCAAGATTCTTGAAGTTTGCGGCCTCAAAGTCAACGACCAAATGAGAGGACTTCAACGTAATGGGGAGAGGGTGGGGCGCCGTTGAACGTGGCTTCAACGACATTCTTACCGAAGACGTTCCCACCAATGAAAAGATACAAATACATAGCTTTCAAGAAGGGAAGACGGTGACTGGCCTGAAGTTTTCCCCGGTTAGAAAGGTAGGAATGGAAGAAAGAAGGTCCTCAGTGTGCGCTAACAGACGGGTCTAGGTGGCCGAGGATTTGTCCTCCATTTTCAATGTAAAGACATTGAAACCAGCATGTTTCTCGGTGAGAATCGTATGGAAATGGCGCGAACCCCCTCCGCGCAGACACAACGTTACATGGACTTCAAATCAAGATTAGCGGAACATCTACACGAGACCGAACTAACCAGTGACGCGAAGAGACTAAGGGAACAGAAGCAAGAAGCCAGACGTGCAGGTGAGTATCCAACTAGAACATCACGGCATTTGCCAACGATCGAGTCCTGACTTCACTGATGTTCACCGCAGCTTTGGACAGAGCTCTCGATTTCACCGAGCAATGCATGTGCGAACAACAACTGAATAGCCTCGACACGCCAGAGAAAAACACTCAAATGGATCTGGGATTCTCCTTTCAAAACCTGGTTTGAGAACGACAGCTCCAAATTCTGGATATCCGGAAAGCTTGCCAGTGGGACAAGCTCATTGATGAATGACATTCGCAGACCTACCTCCGCTAAAAGTGTTCTGAGCAACATTCATCACAATAGTTGTAAGATAATTCACTTCTTTTTTAATTTCAGAGCTGGAAGCGGGATTGGCAATAACATGGAAGGTTTTTTTTGATGCCTAGTCTGGCAAATTCACTTCCGAGGTGTTACAAGTCGCCGTCACCTATCTTCCGCCATCCTCTGTATCCTGATCCCGCAACGCTCTCAGCGGCGGAAGGTGAGAAGACTGAAGTTTCGACACGTGCACTGGCCGTAACGGATGGCATATTGGAGTTCATCAGGACTCGAACAAAATTTAAGCAGCTGGCATTCTCTCGCAGAGTGCCCCGTTTGATTTACCGGACTGTGCAAACCTACCTTGAGCGAGGCGTTGGGCAGGACATTTTCGCAGGCACTTACAACCCCGCTCTAGGCGATAGGCTATGGCCTGAGATCTGTACGCAGGCGATCGTAAAAGGGGAATCAATCGTGGCCTGTCTAGAGGCATTTCATAAAGATCCTAACCGCCAAGGGCTTTATCTGGTAGGGGCCAATTCCAAGGCCAACAGCGATGGCGGCAACTCTACTTCTAACTCCGAACGAAGCTCTCAGCACAACTCTGATCAAATCAGGCACGGCCTGCAGCGTTCTGGATGACGATGGTTTACGTTCACAACCAAGCTCTACCGACCGGCCGCGAGCGAACACCCCAATACCGCAAAATTTGTTGCTGGTTTATGCCGGCATGCCAATGCTCTGCTACGCCTCTCGATACGAGACGGCTTCGGCGACATCAACGTGTCCATTGATTGAGGCCCTTGCCCCCTCTCCCCTTACAGACATACATCGGACCGTGAGCTGGGACTGTTGTTCCTGCATCTAGGTTTGCGATCTTACTGAAGCAAACAACATCAGAATCGAGCTTGTTCAACTTGCTGTGACCCATGATCTGACTCGTCATGCGGAAGACTACCTACGACAGTTACAGGAGAGACAGCCATTAAAATCCCAAAGCTATATCATGGGCAGATTTCTCGAGATGATACATTTGAACAAGATATAGTGTTACGAAAAATATTGAGATTTCTTAAGGAGGCTGCTGTGTTATCTAAGTGCCAAAGTGGGCACGAGAGGATTGAGATGGTCTCTTTCTTGAAAGGTGTCCAGTCGTGGAGGATACTGAAATTATCTTGTCTGTCTGTCATCAGTGTCCATGCTACTGAAACTGCAGCTGAAGCACCCGGAAGAGGGTATTGCATTGCGTTTGGTATACACCATGAAGGCCAGTTTCCATTTGCCGTTGATGTTCCCTCACTCTCTCCAGGCCAACAAGTGTGGGCCTCCAGTTGCTCTGGTTATTCCGTGGTTCTATAAGACCGCCGGCTTTCGAGATGCAATACAAGAGATGCTTGCTATGTTGATGAACAAGGGAGTCCAGCTAAACGATCTGTGCCGGCCTCTGGGAAGTCCACTGCACTACCTCATCTGGATAAAGCCAACGTATCACTACTTCCGTCAGCGTATCTTGTGGACAATTGGATTCCTCCAAGAAAAGGTGCGGATATCTATCAACAAGGTCCAGAAAGCGCGCCTCCGGAGTTTCTATGGAAATTAGCCAGCACGACGGAGGTGACGGGTCCGAGCGACGTCTGTGGATACCGTGAAATATTACACGATCTCATTGGCCGTGGAGTGGTGAGCGGACGCAAAGACCCGAACGGGCTGGTGCCGTCTGTTATCCAAATGAAGCTATTTGGTTGCAATTGGACTGACGACTATCAAGGGTGTTTGCGGTTTTATCGAGAAGGGCCACGTGATGGAGGGACAGTTTGGCCGGGGCCAGTGCCTCCGCATGATCGGCTATCACGTTTTGACTTTGATATACCTTTCGATGAGGCGATGCAAGAGTACCGTGCCGGCCGTGGGCTTTGAAATGGTTGGCAATGGCGGTGCCAATGGAAGCCATGGAGAGGATGAGAGTCGGACTCGTCGGACTGAAGAAATGATGTCAATGTCCGTGGATCAAGGGCATCAAGATCTGGATGGTCCGAATTGCGAATGCGACTGCCCAGAATATGGGATGAGCCGGCCGCCGTCCAAGATGGAACTGGATGTGTAAATGAGAGATTGGATTAACGTCGTCATTCCTCATTCCCTGACCTTCCACACCCGTACCACGAATACTGAAGCTCATCTGGCTGCCTTCGAGCAAGCGATCAGCGCCTTCCCGTCCAAAGGTTATGGGAGTAACGAGATTCTAAACGATGATGGCCAAACTAGACCTTCAGTCCACCCATGCAACGGTACCTACTCGCTATTATGTAGGTAGAAGTTGAACTCTGATGCCAAGACGCCAAGCCCTCATGTAATACATCTCACCAAAATGAAGTTTGGGTTAGTTCGGGTTGGTGTCGGCAGAGCTGATGGCACCGAGATGGACGCCTGAAAAATCCGACCGCGCAAGTTACCGTCTCGTACCTGATCGATGGAGCACAGTTCGTATCTATGAGAAGAATATTAGAGGCATCATTGAAGTTCTGACCACCACTTTGTCTCCCTCCGTGGTGCCCTCAGCGTCCCTTCTCCCCTGACTCATTCCTTAGTCAGCAATCCGGTCCAATTTGTGCTCGTCGTGGGCGTCACAGCGACGAGGTTCTAACAGCCACTACTCCGTACATCGGCTATGCTGCAGATCACTCATGGCGACCAACTCTAACTCTTCAGGGGCACGGCCGCCCAAGGCCTATTCCTGTGTCCGATGCTTCGAGCGCAAGGTGAAATGCGACAAGGAGCATCCCTGTAGCGGCTGTGTGCGCTCCAAGGTCGAATGGCAAGTTTCATCATGCTTCTTGCTGCCTGGTGTCAATGCGAAGCGAGACCCATCGAGAACCGACACCTCGTCACCTGCCAGGGCTATACTGACCTTTCCTTCTGCAGCGTCTTTCGCATTCCACCTGCTCCTCGTCGTCGGAAACGCAAGACCCGAGAAGACGATGTCGTCGCTCGCTTGAAACACTACGAGGACTTGCTTCGTGATCAAGGCATCGATCCAACCACCCCATCTACTACTCCCAGCAAAGTTGACACGACCTCTCCCCTTGACGATGGGGACAACTCCAGTACGTCGATATCTAAGCCCGCAGAGCCTCCGTGGACGTCGGGTTCACTCCAAGGGAGATTGATCACTGACCAGGGGAGATCTCGATTCATTCAAAAGTGTGTCATTCCACGGGCCCCGCAACCTCTTCCAAGCTAAAATCAAGACAGTAAACTATGGACTACTGTCAGCGAAGAGGTCTGCCTCTTCACCTTCAGTCTCTTCAATCGACTAATCACAGCCACAGCTCCATCACAGCAGAGATGTCATTCAGGATACTGAGAGCGAGGATGAATTGGATGCTCTTGACGACACGACTGACTTCGTCCTCGGGGTGACACCATACCCCACTCAGACATCGAGCCTGCACCCAAGTCCCGATCATATGTTCAAACTGTGGCAGATTTTCCTCACAAACGTCAATCCTTTGGTAAAGATCGTCCATCAACCCACCCTACAGCGAACTCTTGAGGACGCCATTCAGGACATAGACCATATACCCCGTGGGCTTGAAGCCCTCATGTTTGCTATCTACGGTGCCGCTGTCCTTTCCATGCGGAATGGCGAATGTGAAGCAATTTTTGGCGAGCCTCGTGCAAGTTTACAATCTAGGTACAGGTTAGGAATCCGCCGGGCTTTGACAAAGGCACGATTTATGGCGACTTCCGATATTGTCGTCCTGCAAGCACTCGTCATCTATCTTGTGAGAAGAAGATCTGCGCTTCTATTGGCCGTGACTAACCGATGATAGCTCACTACGCGCCAAGTCTTGGACGCTCGCACCTTATGGACGCTATCAGGCGTTGCAAGTCGTATAGCTCAAGGCTTGGGCGTGCATCGAGACGGCACCGTCCTTGGCCTTCCTCCTTTTGAGACGGAAATGCGCCGCCGGCTTTGGTGGCAAATCAACCTGCTTGACTTCCGGGCGGCTGAGCTGAGTGGTTTTGGCGGCATGTCGGAAGTCAACTGGTGGAACACAAAGGTGCCGTCAAACGTCAATGACGTGGATATTTGGCCAGGCATGAAAGAACCCCCTGTTGAGCACACTCGGCCCACTGAGATGGTGGTCTGCTTGCTTCATTATTCAGTCGGCGCCTTCTGGAGGCGAAAGCTCTTGCAAGCAGGCACTGCCGAAGAGGACCTTACGCGAGCTCTGCAACGCTGGGTAGCAACAAAAACGATGCCCGAAAAGGATGCGTTCGTTGATGAATTCCAGGCTGACTTGGAAGAAAAGGTGTTGAGATATTGTGACCCTGCCATGCCACTCGAGATGATGGCTTTGATCATTGGGCGTACAATGTGCAAAGGTATCAGATTCATGGCGCACCACCCTCGGCGCTACCCAAGCGAGAAAGATATCCCTGACAGTGAACGCCAATTTCTATGGACAACAAGCATGGCGTTGATGGAGGCCGATAACCTTGCCCATTCCCATCGATCGCTGCAAAGATTCAGCTGGCACATCGACGCCGGGTTTCAGTGGCATTCCTTCATATTTGCGCTGGGAGAGCTCATAGCCCGGCCAACTGGCGACGGCAAGGACGATGCTTGGATTCAGATTGAGGACATCTTTAAGAACCATCCATCGTAAGTCATCTGACCTCTTTGAGTATCACTTTGGTTTTTCCCAAGCTTGCTCCGGCCCCACTTCATGGCTTTCCTGCGTCGAAGTACCGCCGTCCATTGCATATCGTTGTTTGGTATTCTGGGCTGACTCCCACTCTTGTCTTCGTGAAGCTTCGTCTCCGACCAAAAAAAGCCGCTTCACATCGCGATCGGCAATTTGTGCTTGAAGGCATGGCGAGCCCGCGAAAAGGCACAAGTAGAAAATCCCCAGGGGTTGTCGTGGCTGGATACTCCGCAATTCATTCTACAGCTTCGCAAACAGCGAGAGGTTCAGGAGCGGAAGGTCGATGCTAGTCGAGCTTCCGCATCACAGCCGAATCCTATCACTCAGGCTGAAGACACGAACCCGATGAGAGAGTCGCTGCCCCCCAATACTTCGGCCGCAGAGAGCCTGCCCAGCGTCCAGCAATTTGAAGAGCCGGCCACTACATTAGATTCTACCTTTTCAGCGCATGACTTCTCTGTTATGGACAATATGGCCATGGACTGGCAAAGATGGGATACCCTCCTTAACGATTTCGAGTTGCTCACACAGCCCTCCACCATGAATCCCGGGCACTTGCAGCACCTCGGACAGTACGGGCAACAAGGCTATTCATGGCCGTTGTCGCAGATTTATGACAACCCATGAAGCTTGGGGGCGCTCGAGCTGCACAAGACAAATGACCGCCACGAACACATTAAATCATTTGTCTTGCACCTGCTATTGCGCCACATCGAAGGCGTGGAAGCTGCCATCTTGGAGGAGCGATTATTGATCTATACTCATAGGCAGTTACCTCGGTATCATGCTAACAGGAGCTACCAACAGAAAGATTATTTAGGAGGGCGTCCTTCACGGCAACATCATATATTCCTAAACAAGTGATCTTTAGGTCGACTCTGACCCTAAATCCCCCAGGAACGCCAACAGACGGACACCGCTATGCTGTGTAAGTTGAGCTCGCCTGCAGCACAGTTTACCCCCTGTCTGAAGGCAGCCGACATGCGTTTGATTACAAAATGCTCCGCTGTGAACCCATTGCGCGACGGATAGATGGCTCGTCTCGGAGACCTTCCGAAGAGTTCTACGCTCGAGCTTTCAGGTGAACAATTCGATACGAGTACTCGGTAAGCTTCAGGCTTCTCTCCTGGGTGGTATTTAGTGCAGCACTACCCGCATATTTCCTGGCGGACATTTACGCGAACGCTAGGATTTTTGCGTCTGTCGCATCGGAAAGCGTGCCTGGGAGCCTCGATATGGACGAAGTTATTGTGCCGGGGCTGGAGATCCAGTCAACCTACCACGAACGTCACGGGAACAGGGCTTGAGTACTTGGTGCACAGATACAAGATTGCCGATTTCCGATCACAATAGCAACCAAATCGATATGCGACCAAGTCGATCAAGCTGCCTGGTCTGGGCAATATCTGGTTCTAACGCTATCTAACATTCAGCGAGTCGAGCCTAACCCACAGACTACTCCTCAGCAACCTCTCTCACGTCACCCATTATCTCCATCTTCTTATCCTTTCCCAAGGCCAAGGCATCCACGATGCCCTCCCTGTCCTCTGGCGCTACACCCATGATAGCCCGCAACTTGGGCGCCTCGCTGTGGACCTCTCCGTCAAGATTCTCATCGATCTCCTCCAGTGTGCGTCCGCTCGTTTCAACCCAGAACACCAAGACCACGACCAGCTCTAGCACGTCCCACGCGCCGTTGATCATGTACGTCTTCCAGCCAATAGCTTCAAGCGCAAATGGGAATGAGAATGTCACCATCAATCCCACTCCGTTCACGAGGAAGGTGTAAATGCCCATGCCGAGCGAGCGGAGACCATAGTTGAGGACCTCCGGCGGGTACAGGACAGTAAGAGGCGTCCAGCCGAAACTGTATGCCCCCTGGAAGAGGAATATCGTGGCCACTGTCCCGTAGATCCCGGAGTTGTTGGTCGAGTCGCCGTAGACTTTGGTCAATCCGCCCACGAGGAAGATGAAGATGGTCAACAGCGCCGTGGAAATGGCAGCCAGAGCCTTACGCCCTAGTTTGTCTGCCATAGCAGTGCCCACGAGAGAAACGACCAAGCACCATGCGTTGAGGATGATGTTGATCTCAAGCTGTGTGGTCGGGTTCGTTACTCCCGCCTGCGTCAGCATTGTTCCGAAGTAATATGAAATAATATTATTTCCGGAGAGCATGGAAAAGACGGCGACGGTGCAGACCAAGAATATGCGCCTGCGAGTGGAAGAGCTGTTGACGAATTGTTTCATGAAAGAAGGGCTCTCGAACGACTTCTCGAACGCAAGGGTATCCGTGATCTGGCGAAATTGGATGGCCACGGCAGGGTCACCGATGTTCCCATTCGAATGTGTCTGCGCCAATGCCAGGAGAGCCTCTTCGTTCCGTCCCTGGTCTTGAAGCCATCGAGGGGACTCTGGGGTGAATGGGATGAGGACTATGCAAAGAACGCTGAAGAGCCCTTGGAGGGCTGACGGGAGACGCCAGGCCCAAGTGGAATCCATCTTTGCGGTGCCGTACGTGACACCCGCAGCGATCAGACCGCCTATTTGTTGGTCAGTTAGCTATTGCTCCAATCTGCGAGAAAAGGGTGGGCCAACCACTTACCAACATACCAAAAGTCATATAAGAGAGCGAGCGAGACAGCGCGAAGCTTCACAGGCACAGTCTCTGACAGGTAAACGGGCGCAGCGATGGACGAGGCGCCGGTCCCAAAGCCGATGATGATCCTCGCGATCACAAACATGGCGATGTTCTGGGCGGCTGTTTGGAGGACGACACCGATGATTGTGGAGACGGCACCAAAGAACAGAGCCCATTTGCGACCAATCCAGTCCGGGACTTTCGCGTACCCTATGCCTGCTATTGCGCTGCCCATCCACACTGAAGCCGTGTTGAGCGCCAGAGTGGCTGTGGTTAGGGTGAAGTAATCCGTGTACGAGGGAAGGATGTTGAGTCCATTCATCATGGAGCCATCGAAGCCTAGAGTCTGCAGATGCGCCCCGTGTCAACCCATGATCGAACCCATCTTGCCATGTTGTTCAACACCCCCCATCACCAAATTCCAGGTATGTACTTACTGTGGATGTCACGCATGATGTCAGGACGAGGACAGTGCAAGCGATCCACGACTGCTGAGGCACCCATGCCGGGAGCTCCCAAGGAATTGGCGGCATGATAGCTTCAATATCAAGGCGGTCTTTGAGCAATAGTCGTTGGACTGAGAAAAGATGCGAAATCAAACTTGATGTCCTGGTCTCAAGTCTTTCGTCGACCGAGGACCCGCTCCATTATATACACACTTTATGGTCCCCTCTGGGATAGAGTCGACAACACGGCTTGTCTGCTTGATCCATGCCAGGTGCGTTACCACCCGTTATCGCAAAAGGTTGTCATGTAGATATGGAGGTGTCCGCCAGCGCGGGACGGATAACACAGCCAATCTCCAAACAACATGCTCCGCGAGTCAGGTTCTAGTCCTACCGATCCGTCCCTTTGGGTTCGCGTTATCTGGAGAAAGGACCCAGATCCTGATACGGACGAGGCTGGCCCTCGGCTTGTGCCCCCTTTGCTCCATTGCCGTCCCAGTGCGGAAACGGTAATGTCCGCCTCAAAACGTCGAGACGCGGATTTGGCAGCATCGTCTCCCACTTAAAGATGTCATGGCTGGTGAGTGAAGGTTTCCGAGCGGGCTGAGTTTCGAAGTTTCGCATTGACCTAGTCGAGGTTGAATGTCGCCCTGGGCACGTTCTGGGGGGATATATCCAGCGAAGTTAATCGAGTTCTGAATCCTGGCTCTCACTTGTCGTAGATGTCCGACGAGGTAGTGTTACGTCGCGATCAAGCGGCCATCCCGCAACTATTAAAATCTTCGACGAAAGAGGGGAGGGGAAAGACCTGGTGTGCGCTGAAGAGCCAGTGAACCAAATACCGAGCACCCAAAACCAAAACATGCCAGGAAGACTGATGAGCTGGCCAGATTGGCCCGAGTTTACTGCAGCCAAGGCAGAGCCAGGCGATGACCTGGTCGGATACAAGAAAGCCATAGTCGACAAATACGGCAAGGACAACATCATCAAGAGCTGGCTCAAGGTCTGCAAGGAGCTGGAATCAGTGACGGACCATATCGCCGAACATGGCACCGCAGTGATCCCGGAGATCCAGTTTGACGAGGTCTTCAACTTGACGCCTGAGAGGAAGCAGGCGTTAAAGGATGTCGGCTGCTTTGTCGTCCGCAACGTCTTTGGCCGGGAGGAAGCTGACAAGTGGTTCAAAGATCTGAAGGAGTACGTTGCTGCGAATCGATCGCAGATCCGAGGTATGTATGCCCCCATCAAGGAGCGCGCAGATAGATATACGCACCATGGAGTGAAACCTTCGAGCTCTTTTCTCTGACTGATTTCTAGGCTGGCCCGAGGAGACGCCGTTCATCCTCAACCTGTACTACTCACCCACACAAATGGCCGCCCGATCACACCCCAACCAATTGAAGCTTAGCGAGGAGCTTAACTCCTGGTGGCACGACAATTCTGGTTCTTATTCACCTGAGCCGTTGTCGTATGCGGACGCCGTGCGTATCCGCCCCCCAGGGATTCCCTTTCGCGGACTCGGTCCCCATATCGACGCAGGCAGTCTTTGTCGCTGGGCAGATCCCACGTACCAGTCCGTTTACGCTGCTGTCTTTTCAGGAAGCCCCGAGTTGTTGGACAACTATGACTTGACCGCGCGTAAGACCGCCAACCAGGCAATGTTCCCCGGCAGCGCGCACTCGCGTGTCTTTCGAAGTTTCCAAGGATGGACGGCCCTCACCTCGGCCGGACTCGGGGAGGGCAGCTTAATGCTATACCCCAACGTTAAGTGGACGATTGCCTACCTGTTGCTGCGACCATTCTTCCAACCACCAGACTCTGAAGGGGAGGATATCATGGACGCCACCAAATGGACGTTCGACTTCGAGAGCCCGTGGTTCCCAGGAACCTTCAGGGAGGACAGCCAGCTACTGAGCCCGTCATCGCACCCACACCTCCGCCTTTGCGAATGCATGGTGGGCATCCCCCGCATGGAACCCGGAGACACCGTGTGGTGGCACGCAGACATGTGCCACGCGGTCGAGGTCGAGCACAACGGTGACCACGAAGCCAGCGTGGCGTACATCGCTGCTACGCCCCGGACGGACGAGAACAAGCACTACATCAAACGCCAGCTTGAGGATTTCCTGAATGGTCTCCCGCCCGAGGATTTCCGCCGCGGACCAGGCGAGAGGAGTTTTCAATTGTTCACGGGAGAAAAAGGCATCTTGGGCGGCGATGCGGGCAGGAGGGCCATGGGGTTCGATTTGATCGCCTAAGAGAATTCTTGTCTCAAAAGCTATTTTAATCAAAAGCTCACGTCGAGAATCTCTTGCTCTTGCCCCTGTCCTTGCTGTTGCCATCGCCATCGCCATCGCCATCGCCATCGCCGTCACCGTCACCGTCACTCTGACCTCCCATCCACAGCTCTATGCTGTAGTATTTGTCGAGTCGCCGATGATGAAATTCGATCGCGCCGAAGCAAGGCCAAAAAGAAAAAAGCACAATTCCTAGGCTAAAACCCTATATAAAGATAGTCCAGATGAGCAACAATCATCCGATAT